TTGATAATTCCAATGCCTGTTATTAATAGGATATGTTCACTTAGGGGAGCGGAGATTGAGAACTTGTCTATTAGGAATTCTTTGTTTTTAAATATGCAGTCCAAGCTTGACGGCTTCTGGCTATTTTTCCAACGACTTGCTAACTTTACATTCTCAAATAATCGTAGATCATCGATGAGGTCTAGGAATCAAGCTTCAGTAGATTTATCACCTTGAATGTACGTATGTTCAGCAAGGTCTACTTTAAAAACATTGATGTTTCATGGAACTAAGGATATGAATGCAACCGAGACAAGTACAGTGAAATAATCTCTTCATCATGTGATTGCTATGCTCTATCTCATCAGCGAGCTTCCTGTATATGTCTCCGACAAGATACCTCGAAGTTTTGGACAGTCTTACTAAGCACCTTACAGATTCATCATGATTGAACACTTGAGTGTTCACTTGATGTACTATCGAGCTAGATCATACGGGCAGCGGTGCTACGCCTCAATTCCTGTTTTTCTGTCGTTGCAAAATAAATACATGTCAGATACTCTTAGCTCCTGATCCATATTTTGAGATGTCCGTGTTTCAGATATTCATATCGGACGAGTATGATTAGCATTACTTAATTAACTCAACTGATCCATTTTCTTTGGTAAACTCATAGCGTCCGTTTATAAACAGCTCATGCTTTCGATTTCAAACCTTGAGCCTTCTCGGTTTATTTTTCTGAATGAGCATTTTGTTTTGAACAGGCAATCTACACAGGTTTACTTTTGTTGGTACCCCCTCTCCTTCTACATTCTTTCCTTGATCTTGAAGGTCCATAGGCGGAATGGTCGGTCTCAACTTGCTTTTAATGGTAACCAAACAATTAGTTCATTCGTGGTAGGCGTTGTTCGTAATTGCGGGATTCCTATGTGTTTAACTGTAGAATTGAGGAGCTTAGATTTAAACTGACTCCCACTTTTCATAATGAAAGTCGGAGGACTGTCAAAGTTTGAAGCCCGTATTACGACGAAGTCTCAATCGTGATGGAACCTAAGCGACATTCATCGTTTAGTCAACACAGATTTTTGACAGATAATACAAGAGCGTGCTTACTCACTCGTGTTTTCATTCGTATAAAGCCTGAAATGCCTCTATGCCACGAGATCCCGAAAACCTGGATGAGAAGTCTTTTGCAAGGTATTAAAACCACTAGGGTGATAATATTTCAGTGCAATTTAAGGACACCTACCTGAAAATCTTACCACACAGTAAAGTCTCTTTGTTTGTCCACATATGTTTGACCCGTAGTTTCAGAGATGTCTCATGTTTTTTGGAGCAGCTGATACTGGCTTGTTTTGAAGACATTTAGGCGCATGCTCATTAACCAATGTTTCTACGGTTCGCCTACTCCATATATGTGTATCCACACGAACATGCGAATTCTTAAATGCAATTAAATGTGATGTATTCGCTTGCACAATGTCTAGGCTTATATTTAATCATAGTCGTAGCCTATTAAATCATGGTCAGTTTGGCAGTGTAATCTTTTTTCTTGGTGGCTGCATTAAGTCACTGTCTCGAAGCCATGCAGTTTTATTCTTCTCCAGGTCATAAAGAGATGTAAACCCTTCGCATCTAAACAGAATTAAAAAGGAATTTTGATGTCAACTAACTCCCATATCAATTTCTAAACATCGACGACTAACCATTCCACATCAATGTCTCCTCACCGTTTGGTCATTACCCACGGAACTCTGTCCTGGGTAATCATTTCTAGTCGTTTCCAAATGCAATTCACCGTTTTCATGTCTGCTTCCAATTCTTTTCCTAATTTCTATCTCATTTAGAAGCCGGTTTCTTCCCTTCCGTAGTGGGCTGTTGCTGATGGTATCCGGCCGACGGACATTTATAAATACTTGTACTTTTTTGATGATGGTTGTAGCGGTTTGTGGTGGTATTTGTTGCTAACCACACGACCTTTGAATCTGAGCGTATAATTACTGAGAATTTTCACATTCAACATATTATGCCCAAGGTTTGGCACACCTTCGTCACTGAAGCATGGTATGTTGATCTTCTCGTAATTTGCGAACCTAAAATTAGCAATAGAACCATACTCCAGATCACGCATGGAAATTTATTAGCAAATTAAAAATAATCAACCCAAATATCATTCTGATAATAGTTATAACACTTGCAAAACAAACCTTTGATTTTTTACGATCCTGGAGCTAAAACCTGCAAATACCAAACCAAAGACAAACGGAACAGAAAATGATATAAACAGACGAGTTCAGAAGTCGAGTGAAACAAACACATCTAAAAACATTGAAACTAGTGAAATTCAACATATTAGTTTATAAACAGTCAAATGTCTTTAGTTCTGTTGTAACAATTTAACTATGACAGAAGTTAAAAAATGGTGAACACGCAACAAGGAATCGCAATGCCACGGTTCAGCCATGCAGGCGTGCTCACTATATGAATAACCTATTGCTTTTGTATTGAATACATTACTGTACACCCAGCCCAATTGAGCTCTTCAAAACTTCTAGACACCATAATAATGATTGTCACTATAAAACGAGCTAGTACGAAGAATTATGTGACTTCCACATAAGATCTTATTAAAAAGACAGTCGTAATATTGTAGTGAAGGAGTTTGTAGAATTATGGACTACTATGTTATTAGTACTGCCCTAATAATAGATCTAATCCTTAAATTATAGATTTGCCATTATGCAACTGGCTAATCTTTAAGATCTTACGTGGAAGTTACATTATTATATACACCACCTCATTGCATCGTAACAATTACCAATACATGATGGAGAACAAGCTTTGGTTGAAGATAGAACAGTATATATATTGTGAATAAAAGATATGAGATAACATTCAACATGGACCACGCCCGCAAGGCCAAGCCATGCCAGCCGATCAACTCCAATTCGTTCAATTCATTGTTCCCGCCTTCTCCACTGTTAGGTATTTCTTAGCGTTGAATGTTGAATGTCTATTTTCCATATTGTCGCGAGTTAGAGCCCAATGCCACTACAAGTGCTACCACAATCCTACTACATGTTAGGACAACCGGATTATATTTAGCACAAAATTACAGTTACTTGGTGAAATAAAAAACCATACCATAATACTTAATCTGCAAAATGCTCAATAATTGTTTTGGACTTCATTGCTTTCTATTCCCGGTCTTCCTTTCTTGATTTTCCTCATCTTCTGCTGCCAGACATTACATTCCTGATTCGCGTCACATACTACTCACATCAACATAAGATGTTTGTGAATAATAATAATAGTAATAATAATAATAGTTAGCACGCACCACACGTAACACACAGTAACTACTGATACCGACTTAGACCGTAATTCTATAGTCTGCGTCTTTTGATGGCTTCTGGATGTAATCCTGTTTAACAGCAAAGAATCATCTCAGTGTCGCTACTGTAGCTAGTTCTGTGAAGTTTATAATTGATGACAATTATGTAGCAATTGCTTATGGTACCTTCTTTGCACTGGTCATTCTCTGTCGTCAGCGTTTAATGTGGGAAATCTTCTAGCTCTTCCAGCATATAACTGATGTACAAGGATAGTTATTTTGGCCGTATGATTTCGTTTTTACAAGTTAGCTTTTTTGCTTAATTTGGAAACTTCGGATTATAGTGAAATATTTGCTACTGGCAGTACTGTGGTGTTCCAGTGCATCGTGTTTACTAAGGCTAGACCAGATTTCAGCGTCTTTCGTGTTCGTAGGCATCGCAGTTCACAGCCGACCATGAAGTGGCCGTCTTCCTTTTTTCAAACTGCCCAAGGTATGGATTGTGCAGTAACTTGGTTATATTCCTTCACAACGTGGTTCTTTATCTCTTCAAATAGTTCTTGTGTGTGGACTTTTTATTTCCCATGGGAATTTTAAGAGTTGGTTGTTGCCAAATAAAATTTCAATACACCAGCTTGAGTATTTGCTCTGTAGATCATACCAAGTTTGGACATGTACACGACGAGCACGTAGTTATTAATCGCGTTCGATGAATGGTTAAGATCGCCTCTATGAGTGAATCACAGGCTAAGGACAGACATAAACTGCCGTACAACTTACACGCCCGAAACCCCAACATGTTCCTCATGCGGGATCTTGGATGCGCACTGCCGATAAGTCCCATACTTAGACGAAAAGGCTGTCCAGTGCTTCCAGGTTTTCACTGGATGTCTAGCTTATATCGACTCACAAGTTCAACGATTAAAATATCGAGTTTAAATGAAAGATTTCGGATTCCAACAGCTTAAGAACGTTCATATCCACTGAGATCTATGTTTCTAGGTAAGTTCAGCCAGTAGAGGGGTTCATCACTCGCATTTAACCAGTGGATTTCGGGCATAATCTTTATACTGTAATAATGTTTTGTAAACCAATGTAGTGATATGAAGGTGTTAAAAACAGAAAACCTTGAAAATACCACGAGTATACAGGACTTGACATCACTTTCATCCGAAACCACTTCTCATGTAAGGACCCCAATGGTAATCAAAACAAGAGCAGGAAATCGTACTCCGCCAATTTACTTTTGAATTCGAATTCAGTGTACTGCATTCTACGGAGTAAAAGCTGACTTGTTGCCACAAAATACATGAAATATCGAAACGTAATCTGGTATATTTTCCAGACGGACCTCTTCAAGCTAGGAGCTTGGGGTCAGGCTGATAAAGTGAACATGAACTTTTAGGACCTGTTAAATTGTTTCGTTTGGACTGATTGTCTTCTCAATTTTATGCGCTGCCATTAGTTAGTGACTTTGACAAAACACGAGGAGACGACAAGAAAAGTAATTTTATAAGTAGGACCTACTCAAAACTATTATTTCGTTTTAAATATTTTTGTAAATACGAAAAGAGGCCATCAACTCCAAAGAATACTTTTGTTTGTTTATCTGACTGCTTATTCTATTATTTATGCCCACTCACCTTGACTCTATAGTTTTGGCGGCGCTTGAAGTAGCTCTCTAGTCATGTCGGTTAACGCTGCTAGCATGCTTACCCTCGGGGGAGAAAGGACGAGTGGCGAATCTGTTCGCAAACAAAATGGTTAGTTTCCTTATGCTTGTATGGCAATAAAAGATTTATTTTTTATCAAGTTCTGTGACGATATTTTGTACAGATACTGATTTGTATATGGTGGAAATAAAAACATTCAAAAGAATGAAAAACACCGGTAATTAGTTACCTATGTTAAGAGCATTCTGATGTTTTTAAGAAAGTGATTAGCTTTTGCTTGTAGGTATTTAAACATGTACTGGTGTGGTAACCAAAACCCTAGGTTCGTCTGCCGTTGGCAAAGGCGTGTGTTCCAAATATACAACTTGGTCAAAACGCTTGTATGACATAATGCCGTTCAATATTTTGTCTCACGGTTAGCTTCATTTACTTTATTGGCTCGAAAAAATTGGCTGTGATCAAATACTTTGACTGATTTAGGTAATGGGTGATATAGAATGGATAAAATATAGACTTAAAATACTCTTATGATAGTTCACGCTATCTGCAGGAAGTACTGTTTTCTTAACATAATACCCAGTAGTGTTATGTAAAATCCAGAATCCAAAATGTAAGAAATGTTTTCCACGTTTCATCGTGTTGATACTCAGATGAGCTGGGAGTGGAGCATGCAGAAAACAAGGATATCGCTTAACTAGCGTCTATACTCTATGTTTATGATTTTAAAACAAAAAAGTTTGCGCAAAAGTTTTCCTTTTCAAATACACGATTCGTATTAATTCCTTGACAGACTAAATGATTCGATCAGATTTGTATTCTAGGCCTCAAATTTGATGTGTGGACGAGTGTGTTCATTAGTTTCTTCATCTTCGGTCGACTAGTTAGAAGCTATCGGAACCTACTACTTTTCGTACTACGTGAACCATATGACGAATGCATATGTGTTTTTATGGTTTCCACCACCATTTTTCACCTAAGTGTTATTGCTGCTACCCGTCCATCCGATCTGAATTAGGCGTAGCGTAGTTTCGTACCAAGATGTATAACAATTCGTTTATCTGAACACAAACGTTAGCACAAAGGGGCACTAAGTACGTATCCACTACAGAATATCATGTGTGCTAGAGTTGTGATTTTGTCTCGGTGTCCCAACTGGGATTAATAAGTCAAGTGTAAGTCAGACTATTTCGGAAAAAAACGACACTCATCTCCCAGTTCAGACGCTTAGAACGATTTGCGGAACACTTTAAAGAGCAGTTTAGCTGGCCTTCAGCTACTCTACAACTACCCTCCATTCCCAGACAGTGTAAATAGAAAAATTAAAGTAGGTCTTCCAACTCTAGGTGAGGCTCAAATGGCTTTAGTTAGTCTGAAACGAAGAAAAGCAGATGGATTGGCTCAAGATGTCTTTAAGGATGGTGGTCTAGTTTTAGCGACTTGGTTGACTAATATTTTAGCTAAAATCTGGGAGTTAGACGTTATCCCATCTAACTGGTCACAATCACTTATCGTCCCAATATATAAAAAAGGGTCAAAATCATCCTGTGACAACCACAGAGGGATTAGTTTGACTAATATAGTATCTAAAATACTAGCCTCGATAATTATCGGACGCCTAACTAAAACTCGTGAACTGCAAACACGTGAAAATCAGGCTGGCTTCAGACCTGGTCGTGGCTGCATAGACCATATTTACCACTCGTCAGGTTGTAGAACACAGGCATACTTATCGGCGTCCGACAATGGTGGTATTCCTTGACTTAAAAGCAGCGTTCGACTTTGTTGACCAAGAGGTTCTGTGGCGGTGTTTATCATTGAAAGGCGTACTTCAGAAGTACATAAACCTTGTGAAAGCTCCTTACTCGAACACTACTAGTCGAGTCAGAGCTTATGGCGAACTGTCATCTGCTTTCGCAACCTCAAGTGGCGTCCGTCAAGGCTGTCCACTATCTCCTTTTTTGTTCAACTTCATCATAGATCTACTAATGGAAATAACGCTCTCATCGACTGAATTCTCGGGCATTGATCTCGTACCAGGAGGTCCACTTATTGACTTAGAATACGCAGATGACATAGTCCTGTTTAGTGAAGACGCTGATGAAATGCAGAGTCATTTGGTAGCACTGAGCAACAATGCTAGAATGTTTGGGATGCGCTTTTCTCCCTCTAAATGCAAGTTGTTGCTTCAGGACTGGTCTGCGTCAACACCTGAACTAAGGATAAGGAGGGAAGTAGTCGAACGCGTTGACAACTTCACTTATCTTGGAAGTCTGATCAGCCCTAATGGGTTGATGTCTGACGAAATCTCAGCAAGGATTCGAAAAGCTCGTTTAGCTTTTGCCAACTTACGTGACCTGTGATGAAGGCGATATATTGGTCTATCAATTAAGGGTCAGTCAGTCAGCTGCAACGTAGGTCCAGGCACGTATATGCATCGGTCCAAGTTGCCATACCGCATTAGCACAACAAGATGAACACCGGATTCATAGTAGTTAATTCAGTGGTGTTAATATATAGAAGAAAGATTGTGTATAAGGAGATAGTACAGGAAGAAAGAATTAGTTCCTAGAAAGATATGAAGCGATTTTAATTTCTTAATTTAAGGAAGACAGAGAGTGTATACACCTACGCCATTGTGATCGATTCTGAGCCATGTCACCAAGAGTCTTCAACCATTGGTTACGATAGTCACGCGGACCCCAACCAAGCATTCTGCATCTAACAACATGGCTCAGACCAGAAGTTAGTGACTTCAAGTACTGATGCCACGTTATGGTTTGGCCACCCCTAACTTTCTTCCAACCATCCCCAACACCGTTTAGCATTGCGCGTCGTGGTAATTGGTGTTCAGGCATACTCAGAACATGGCCTAACCATCTCAGTCGATGAAGATTCATAACCTCATCAACTGATTTACCATCATTCCTTAATACCGTGTCTAATCTCACTATTACTTACCCGGTGATCCCAGCAGATACCAGCAATATTTCTAAGGCATCTGTGGTCAGGCACTAATAAGTTACGAGTATCTTCTACTCTAAAAAGCCATGTTTCGTAGCCGTGTAGTAGAACGGAACGAACTACCGCGCAGTATACTCATCCCTTAATTGATAGATGGATATCTCGCCTGCACCATAGATGACGTAAGTTGGCAAAAGCTAAACGAGCTTTTCGAATCCTTGCTGAGATTTCGTCAGACATCAACCCATTAGGGCTGATCAGACTTCCAAGATAAGTGAAGTTGTCAACTCGTTCGACTACTTCCCTCCTTATCCTTAGTTCAGGTGTTGACGCAGACCAGTCCTGAAGCAACAACTTGCATTTAGAGGGAGAAAAGCGCATCCCAAACATTCTAGCATTGTTGCTCAGTGCTACCAAATGACTCTGCATTTCATCAGCGTCTTCACTAAACAGGACTATGTCATCTGCGTATTCTAAGTCAATAAGTGGACCTCCTGGTACGAGATCAATGCCCGAGAATTCAGTCGATGAGAGCGTTATTTCCATTAGTAGATCTATGATGAAGTTGAACAAAAAAGGAGATAGTGGACAGCCTTGACGGACGCCACTTGAGGTTGCGAAAGCAGATGACAGTTCGCCATAAGCTCTGACTCGACTAGTAGTGTTCGAGTAAGGAGCTTTCACAAGGTTTATGTACTTCTGAAGTACGCCTTTCAATGATAAACACCGCCACAGAACCTCTTGGTCAACAAAGTCGAACGCTGCTTTTAAGTCAAGGAATACCACCATTGTCGGACGCCGATAAGTATGCCTGTGTTCTACAACCTGATGAATGGTAAATATGGTCTATGCAGCCATGACCAGGTCTGAAGCCAGCCTGATTTTCACGTGTTTGCAGTTCACGAGTTTTAGTTAGGCGTCCGATAATTATCGAGGCTAGTATTTTAGATACTATATTAGTCAAACTAATCCCTCTGTGGTTGTCACAGGATGATTTTGACCCTTTTTTATATATTGGGACGATAAGTGATTGTGACCAGTTAGATGGGATAACTTCTAACTCCCAGATTTTAGCTAAAATATTAGTCAACCAAGTCGCTAAAACTAGACCACCATCCTTAAAGACATCCTGAGCCAATCCATCTGCTTTTCTTCGTTTCAGACTAACTAAAGCCATTTGAGCCTCACCTAGAGTTGGAAGACCTACTTTAATTTTTCTATTTACACTGTCTGGGAATGGAGGGTAGTTGTAGAGTAGCTGAAGGCCAGCTAAACTGCTCTTTAAAGTGTTCCGCAAATCGTTCTAAGTGTCTGGACTGGGAGCATATGGTCTGACTTACACTTGATTTATTAATTCCAGTTTCTTTTATTAGTCTGTAGAGTTGTCTTGTGTTCCCTATAATCGCCGCCTTTTCCATCTCTTTTGCTTTTGTTGCCCACCACTGCTCACGATCATTCTTTAGACTTTTGCTCAATCTAGATCTGATTTCTTTACGCTCTTCATTGTGTTCAGAACCTGATGGGATGAGTTTGCGAGAATCTATCAGTGCAATAGACCTTGACGAAATCCATTTGTTCTTTGTAACCCTGTGGTTTAAATCACTGGTAGATGTCACTGCTTGTTTCCACAGCTGCTTGTATAACTTTCCAAGCAACATCTGGGTCAGTCTCGTTTTCAGAACCACCTAAGTGTGACCTCAGTTGTTCCTGGAACCTACTTTTGGTTTTCTCATTACTCAATTCGGTTCTCCTGCTTCGGTTTGGGCACCCGGGCAGTATCACAGCCCTCACACAAATCAATTGAGATTTGTGTGGCGCATATGTATTTGGTGCCTCTCTGTACCTATACTTATGTGTTAAAATAAAATAAAATAAAATAAAATAAACAATTCGGTTCTAATGAGTCTTTTTTTGTGTGGCTCTTTTGCGTCCAGTGAGGCGCAAGCAGATGCGTGCTCATACTAGGGCATGATCAGAGTCCAAGCAGGTACCCCAGAATGAGCGACAATCTTCTATTGACCCTCTCCAACGATGACTGATGGCAATATGGTCTATTTGAGTCCATCGTTGGTTTGGTGCAAGGGGTCGCCATGTTAGACGATGTCTCTCCTTATGCTTAAAATTTGTGTTTGCCAAAAATAGGGACGTTTATACTGCGCGGAAGTTCGTTCCGTTCTGCTATACGGCTACGAAACATGACCTTTAAGAGTAGAAGATACTCGTAAGTCACTAGAATTTGGCCACAGGTGCCTTAGAAATATTTCTGGGATCACCGGGTAAGTAACAGTGAGGTTAGACGCAGTGTACTAGAGAATGATGGTAAATTAGTTGATAAGGTTATAAATCTACATCGTCTGAGATGGTTGGACCACGTGTTACGTATGCCTGAACATCGATCAACACGACGTGCGGTGCTAACCGGTGTTGTGGATGGTTGGAAGAAAGTTATTATTATTTATTATTATTTGAACGCATAAATATTGGTACAGGGGGGCACCAAATATATATGCGCCACACAAAACAATGATAATTTGAAGAGAAGGAGAAAAGAGAAAAAAAAGTAATGAACGTCGGGAATTATAAAAAAAAGAGAGAGAACAATGGTGGGGGAAACGGAAAGGTACAATCATAAGAGATCTTTCAGTTAAGGAAGATACAACCACTTTTTATGAAGTAAAAGAAGGTTACAGCAGGATCGCCACTGGCTTCTATTCTGAGCCATATCTGATAACGTCTCTAGCCACTGCGTTACACCGTCTCTCGGACCCCAACCAGGGAGTCGTGAAGGACCAACAGAAGCTAGCCCTTTTCAGTACTCATATTCGGTAGTAACATACAATTTTCAACCAGGCAGTGACTCGAGAACGTTTAGATAAAGCTGAATTTTCACCATAGGCGAGCTGCTGTCTGAGTCGAAACGGATACAAAAGGTAGAAATAGGAGATAGTGAATAAATGACGTTGTAAATAATAATAATAATACCAGTCATTTCAATGTTAGTCGGAGAGAAACAAATATTTTCTATAAGCAGATAGTTCATCATGTTTTAGTGTGTGGGCTGAGATACTGCCCGGGTGCCCAAACCGAAGCAGGTGGTTTCCTTAGGGGGCCACACCCCGAGCTTTTGACCTAAAGGTCTAGTCCACAAGGCAGTGGAGAATCGTGAGGAGATGGCCGAGAGTGGGGTGGGTTCGCCCTCCCTCTCAAAATACTCTCACACGGTCATGCGTATATAGCCTCTGCAAGGGAAGTCCTACTCACTGCCTTCTCGTGGCATTACTGTTGTTTACGAAAATGAGAGGACGAAAAGCGGACGTCCGGCGCTATAACCGGATTCCAAATCAACAGTGCACATTGGCTCCAGTATCCTGCGGGAACAAATAGCATATGAACCAATTTCTTGGTCACCGGCTTCCATGGGATTGCATCTCCTCACGATGCTCCACTGCCTTTTGGGTTAGACCTTTAGGTCAAAAACTCGGGGTGTGGCCCCCTAAGAAAACCACCTGCTTCGGTTTGGGCACCCGGGCAGTATCTCAGCCTACACACAAAAGTGTGGCGCATATATATATGGTGCCCCCTTGTACCAATATTTATGTGTTTAAATAAATAAATAAGAGATTAAAATCGCTTCATATCTTTCTATGAACTAATTCTTTCCTCATGTACTATCTCCTTATATGCAATCTTTCTTCTATATATAACCACCACTGAATTAACTACTTCTATGAATCCGTTGTTCATCTTGTTGTGCTAATGCGGTGTGGCAACTTAGACCGATGCACATATGTTCGTGGTCCTACGTTGCAGCTGACTGACTGATTCGGTTTCCAAGCCGAAATGGGTGGATTTTTAAGGAACATCATCCAGAGTCTTTAACCTAAAGGTCTAGTCCACAAGGCAGTAGTAAAACTTAGGGAGATGCAGTCCCAATGTAGCCGGTGACACCTTTTGTTCCTTCACGATCATGAAGTCCATGCGCACCAGTGGTTTAGAATCGAGCTTTCCAACTCATCTAGGTGCTCTTCCGTGCCCAACAAAGTATATTCTCCTAAATACAACATAGAAGATTGTTTATTATTCCCAAAACTCGCAATACTTAATTTAATGATTGTAATCTGAGTAGTTGCGTGTGTTTGAAGTCTTGTACTATTCAAAGTAATGAACATTACAAGTTTAAATGCTTCGTTCAGTTATCTCCTGGCTTGGACATGTTCTACGAATGTCGTCCCAGACAATTCCTCGTCGTGTATTATTTGCCGACTCTGGGACTGGTTGGAAAAAGTGGAGAGGTGGTCAGTATATGACATGGTGTCGTGGTATGAAAGAAAGCTGCAAAGGGCTAGCTTCTGTTGGTCCTTCATGACTCCCTGCTGTAACCTTTTTTTACTTCATAAAAAGTGGTTGCTCCTTCCTTAACTGAAAGATTTCTTCCGATTGTACCTTTCTGTTTCTTCCATTATTGTTCTCTCTTTTTTTTTATAATCCCCTACGTTCATTACTTTTTTTTCTCCTCCTCTTCGAATTCTCATTGTTTTGTGTGGCGCATATATATTTGGTGCCCCCTTGTACCAATATTTATGTGTTCAAATAAATAAATTCGGTTATCTCCAAATCATACTACGTTGATGTCGACTCCTTGTTTTTGATCACATTTGCAAAGATAAACATTAAACCCGTTAAAATGAACCTTGGAGGTTTAGATCAGATTAGTTGACGTCTGAATACGGAATAGATGTGCATTAACTTGAGTCCCCAAACCATGGGATCACAGTAATAAAATGAACATCAACAAAAACCTAAATAATGTAATATCAATGACAGTAGGAAAGATTCGGCATTACGAATATGTTCTAAAACGGTAGTTGAGAAATCCCGAAATTTCACATCGCAAAAAATATACAGAGTGAGTGCATGTTTGTCATTATAAACGATTTTGAGTCATCATCAGACGTCTCCGTTGTTGCTACCTTGACGTGGTGGTCGGGCTTGCCTATCGTGATGAAGCAACTGAGCTATACTGGCTGGAACAGCCGTTCCTCAAGGTCCTACCATGCCAGACAGGTCGGTTGAAGAGCGGTAAGATTAAAAGCAACAAAACCAAGGTCCGAAGGCGAAGTCGTACTGCTGACTGTACAGAGGTGTGACAGCTGTAAGGTGTTTCCTTCAGACAACCAGCATGACAGCGATGCTGCCTTCCCACAAGGAGGGGTGGGGTTAGAAAAGGTCGAACCTAAAATTGCACACCTAGCCTTATCCCACGGATATCCGTCCCCGGCGGTAAGGACTCAACAATTACGGAGCTAACACTAAAACTACTCATAAAAAGGTTGTGTGTGACCGACCTCAAGCAGATGTACCTTGGGCACTGCGGTCACGTTCTCAGGTCACTATGACCAACTCTAATCCCATTTCCTTTTCAGGTACTTCCTCCTCTCCGGTCATGGATCGCGGATATTTCTCGGACATAGTTAGGTAGCCTGTGTCCACATGCATGGTTCAAACCAAGTCTTTTACATCATGGACTGCCGCTAGATTTTCACTCGCCCGCTTCTAGCCTTCAGACTACTGTGCTAGTAAACATCATCTGTCGCGGTATGCGGTGATTTGGCATTCGTAATATCACCTATATCAATGGGTATACATAACCTTATCGATGTATTCGACACCATTTCATACTGTGCGTTTTACCTCAACGTTGTTCACTCGTTCACCCCGCAAGATGTAAGCAACACATTGAAAACTCTTGATCTAAAAACCTGCAACCCATGCTTGTCCTCTACTTTCGAAGACCACAGTTTACTGGCTAAAATAGGTATTAATTAAAGTGTAGAAGTATTTGCTAGGACGATGTAATTGCTCATACCATATTGAATCGTTATATTAACTGGGAAAATTAAGCTGATAAATTTCTTCGAATACTGTTGAGTGTTTTAGGATTTGACTCCATTTTTGAGGTTGGAAAATCCAAACTTTTCAAAGTGATATAAGAGTAAACTTCTCAAATTCGGTATGCACGAGCATTCATACATGAATCAAATTCTACTTTATTTTATTTGAACACATGAATATTGGTACAAGGAGGCACCAGATATATATGGTAAACCTTTATTATGTAGTGATTGATAGGATTGTAATATAAATGAAAACGTTTTTGACATTCACTTAATTGCCAACCATATGATGAATGTTATGTGGTAAAAGTTAATCTGACCGTTCAAAACATGCATTGTATTACGTTACAGTTATAAAACCTTTTTAATGAAGTAGAGATATAAAAAGGTTAAGTTTATTTGATCAGTATTACTTCTGAAACATCTGGCGTTTCCTGTAATAACTGGAAGATTAGTATAGCGGTGTATATAGTTAAGGCAAAATGAACTTGGTCAATAAAGCTAAAAAGTGTTTCGTCAATTTTTACTTGCGAACCACTTCGACTTGTTATATATTTAAACCAATTCATCGCAGAATGTTTTCAGTCGTCAACATTCTATAAAGTTGCTAACTACTGGTTTTAGCCGTAAAATCAATAGTCGTTATTCCGTAACTAGTCAGTAGCCTCACTAGTGTGTAATAAGCTTTTACTTTGTTTCTGACTGTAATTCATGGTTTAATATAAATTTATAGTTAAAAACATAGATTAGAAAGTTATCTCAACTAATCTAGATATATGCACATTGCTTAAAACCCAATGGCAATTTTTTGCTTATGTTTCTCATTCATACTGTTTGTTTGTTGTTATTCACCATATCCTATAAGTGTGCTTTTTCCCTCTGAAGCTATTTAAACGACTAAATAATTATGGTTATTTAATGGTTTCACTGTTTCTGAGATAATTTGCTACGCGGTTTGGACTTCAAAAATTCTCTACTCATTTAAATCCAGGCAGTTTCAGATTAGCACTAACTTCTGTAGCAAGTTAAATCATCGTTTGGGGTAGCTCATTAACGTGGACTTCAATGATCCTATTACTTATCTCCCTACACTCATATACAGAAAGGTCAAGTAGCAATAGAAATCATCTTTAACCGTATGTAGTTGATGTAATATTCTGCTTAAATTTGCTCGTTTTTATATAAATTTCCGTTCTAATTACAGTTCTTGCTGCTTGCTCAATTGCTAACATCGTTAAGACCAGCCTAGGTCCTGTCGGTCTTGACAAAATGCTGGTAGATGACGTTGGAGACGTGACAATCACTAACGATGGGGCTACTATTTTGAAATTACTTGACGTTGAGCACCCTGCAGCAAAAATTCTTGTTCAGCTCGCGCAATTACAAGATGAAGAGGTTGGGGATGGGACAACATCTGTTGTAATTTTGGCTGCTGCACTGCTCAAGAATGCAGACGAATTGATTTCTCGTTTTGTTCATCCTACCATAGTAATCAATGGTTATCGGTTGGCCTGTCGAGAAGCTTGTAAGTACATACAAGAACACATGGCGTATGATGTAAATAAGCTGGGTAAGGCTGGGTTAATAAATGTGGCACGAACCGCCATGTCAAGCAAACTTATCAATTTGTAAGTTACTCACTTCGGTTGTGCATATTATTGCTTTTAGAGATGCTGACATGTTTTCACAAATGGCTGTAGATGCACTTATGGCTGTTGAAGTCTCTGGAGGCCCCAAAGGTCCTGTTTATCCCATAAAAGCAGTTAACATTCTGAAAGCCCATGGGCGATCAATGTCAGAGAGCATTTTGATAGATGGTTATGCTCTCAATTGCACAGTTGCCAGTCAACAAATGCCGCGAACGATAAAAAAGGCGAAAATTGCTTTTCTGGATTTCAGCTTACAAAAAGTTAAAATGAAACTGGGAGTTCAAGTATGTTTAATATGGAAATCATGATATTCTTTGAAATACTAAGAAATTGATTAAAAATGATAAATACGAAATGTCATGTAAAATATTTTACTGACTTAGATTATTTAGATAAAGTTTACGTCGACAAAGGTTATTTTATTTTATCTGTAACAAATTCTGATACAGTAGGAGATTAAAAAGGTTCGATGAAAAATAAATACAACTAAATTCTGTCAGTCTGGAGGGCTCGCCTTTGATTTATGATGAACATAGTAGGGAACAACCGCAAAATCGCTATTGACTTCAATTAAGTCATGATTGGTAGCAAACTAAAACGATGAGTTGCAAAGGACGGTAACAAAACTAAAATGCTAATCCTATACATTTTTCTTTCATATCATGATTCTATTTTTTCACCATCCATCCAGTACTAACGTCGCCAAATAATGTAAGAATTGGCACCAAGGTGCCATCCAAACATAAAGCTAAATAATCAGTCTCATAACTATGTATCATGGCGTTTGATATTCCTCCATTGTAGCTATCACAAACTGCCTGGTCCATTAAACTTATCAAAGTGGTCATTTTTGTTAAACTGTTTTAGAAAGATAAGACTTCACTTCACTTTTTTGAAACCTTTTGAGTAGCTCATCCCACAACTCGACAAAAATCTGATTAGTATGATTTGTTTTTTTTTTTTTTGTATTATCAAACTAGTTTATGAACAGAATATCCACTTTTATTTTGTCATTATTTTCCCCAAATTATTTATTGTAACAGGTTGTGGTTAAGGATCCTGCCCAACTGGAGGCCATCCGTCAACGCGAAGCTGATATCACAAAAGAACGTATACAAAAGATTCTTAATGCTGGTGCTAATGTCATTCTTACAACTGGTGGAATCGACGATTTATGCATGAAATATTTTGTTGAAGTTAATGCTATGGCTGTACGTCGATGCAAAAAAGTTGATTTGAAAAATATGGCAAAAGCAACAGGAGGTCAACTTATTGTTAGTTTAGCAGATATGGAAGGTGATGAAGTTTTCGATCCAACAAAATTAGGAAATGTAATTCATTAGTTTATTCCAGTTTAGTTAATTAAAAAAAAATTTGTTTTTAATTTAGGCAGAGGAAGTATCTCAAGAACGCATATGTGATGATGAATTAATTATACTGAGAGGTCCTAAAGTTCATCCATCGGCAAGTATCATTTTACGAGGTGCAAATGACTTTTATGTCGATGAAATGGAACGATCTATACATGATGCACTTCTGGTTAGTGTAAATGTATATTATTTTATGATTATTCTGATATTTTTCTGTCTTATAGATAAAGGAACGATTGATCTGTTAAGTTATATATTTAAAAACAGATTCCTAATTTTTTCTAATCTTAATAGTTCATTGTTCACATAATGATACCTGTACATTGTGAGTTGTATACATTTATCTTCATGCATATTAATGATTTCCAATCGTATTATCCAATGTATTCCACTATATTTAACACTTATTTGATATAATCCAACCAGATAAGTTTATAGGCATCAAACTACCTTTAATTTTTTCCAATCTAGTTGTCCTAATGTGATCAATAGGATATACTGAGGAAGGTGTAAATTATTTTACCGTCGTATCACCTGATCATCACGCTAAGCGTTAGATACTTTCTTGTCGTCATGGTTCTTTAATATGTTGTGAATATTCATCCGTATCCTTTGACTTTTTATTCGTTTGTTATTTGATAACCTAATCCATTGTCCAAATGACTTTTACTTCTCAGTAAGATAATGGTAGGCCGTGACGTATGCGAAAGCTAGGGGCGATCATTGTTTTTAATAATCATGCTATAATAATGATAGGTTGCAAAAATATACACTACTGTAAGTTTGGGACTGACTACCCCAAATGCCCTGGTACGGTCGAGAGTGAGGAGAATCCACTTCCCCTCTCGAAATGCTCTCATATATGGCCACGTGTATACAACCACTACCAGGGAAGTCCTAATCACTGCTTTCTCGTAGCGGGGGTGTTTACGAAATTGAGGACGAAAAGCGAATGTCCGACACTAACCGGGTTGGTGGATATGGAAAATCTACCTAGGGGAGTGGGACAACCCAGATTCCTATCCAGTGATGCACATGGGCTATAGAATGCTGAGGAAAATGGAGTATAAACCTATTGTTGTCCGCCGGCCGCCACGAAAGTACATCTAATATTACTCCACTGTCTTGTGGATTAAACTTGTATGTCAAAGACTTGGAGGGTAACCTCCTAAAAAAGCCACCTGCTTCGGTTTGGGCTCACATATATTTGATGCCCCCTTATACTAATGTTTATATGTTTGAATAATGATAATATTAACATCAACATAACAAGCCGAATAGTAAAAGAGTTGAAACAGTTTTAGTATCAGTGATGGTCAGAAAAACTAAGCGATTAAGAATGAATAAAATTTTATGTATGAAGGAGTTCTAGATGTATAGGAAGGAAGAAATAGGAAATGCATCTGCACCACTGTAACCAATTGTAAACCATATTATACGTCTCAAACCACCAATCACATTTATAACTAGCCCAACCAGGTAGTCTGTACCTACCAACATGGCACAGACAAACAGTGAGTGACTTCACGGAATAATGCAGTGTATTATCTTGAACACCCCTAGCTCGGAACTTCGGCAAATGATATTAGATCTATTATATCTATACATTATAAGTGAGGTATCGTTTTGTTCGACTTGTAGACTAAAATGTTCCATTTCGTGACTCATTAATTTTAATTTTGTCAGGTGGTCAAACGAGTCCTGGAAAGCAAACGCATTGTACCTGGTGCTGGGGCTTGTGAAACAGCAGTCTCAATCTATCTGGAAAATTATGCTTTAACATTAAGTTCACGTGAACAGCTAGCTATTGCTGAATTCGCGCGAGCTATGCTTTCGATTCCGAAACAGTTGGCTGTGAATGCTGGTGTCGATTCAACTGAACTAGTTGCACGTTTACGATCCTGTCACAATTCAAGTCAAAGTAAACCTGACCAAGCTCATTACAAGTGGTAAGTTAGTAGTTTAGGTGTTCTCAAAGTACGTTTTTCAAAGGTGTCGATACTTCGGATTTTAGTGGCGAAATATAGGATGAAGTCGAATGAGTTTTTAACTTATAAACTATTCAACGGATCAGTATATAGTAAATAGATATTAAAGAGTTGTTTATTAAAATAAGTCATTCTTGAAACCGTTAGCGGACAAAGTAATCGATAGGTAAGTCGAATGACGTTCACAGGGTTTGTTGAGTTAGTGGACAGCTCATTTCTACGTGAAGTAAGCATTGATGATGTCTGGAACAACAACGTAAGCTTCACATGAACTCAGAAAACACAACCAACAGTATTCTTTTTATTTCCGTTCTTTTGCTTATCTGCTCACTTGTATGGATATTTTTATACAAATAGACTAGCTATAATCGCATCAGTCAAATTCAAACCAGCTTCTATGTAAAGCATTTCCATCGTGTGTCTATATTACTGATTATTTTGACAGCTGTAGAACAACATCAGCATTATTTCAATATTAAATACGTTTCGCCTTAGAGTTAAGTTGTTTTATCAACAAAATAAGGCTGTTATTGACACTATTTCGGAAAAAAAGACTAAACTGCTATTCACTCAATTCAGGAGATTAGATTATTGGGCAAAACACTTTCATCGTCCGACTATACAGCAGTTGATGTTCTACCAGAAGGAAATTAGATTGTTTACTTAGAACACGCAAATGATATAGTTCTGTTTAGTGAAAATGCTGACCACCATAACTAACAATGCTTGCATGTTTGGAATGTGATTCCCTCCAAACATAAAATGTTATATCAAGATTGGCTTGCGTCAATGTCTAAATTATTGATAGTGAGATTATTATTATTATTTTAACACAGATATTGGTACAAGGAGGCACCAAATATATATGCGCCACATTAATCATTCGATTTGTGTGAGGGCTGTGATACTGCCCGGGCGCCCAAACCGAAACAGGATTGATAGTGAGTAAAGTAGTTAAATTCATCGATCGTTTCACTTATCTTGAGAGTCTCATCAGACTTGATGGTCTGGCCTCTTGAAAACTCAGAACGGATTACGAGGGCTCTATTGGCTTTCTCAAGCTTGTGTCACTTGTGGCGTAGGCGAGATATCCGTCTTCCAACCAATGAGAAAGTTTACTGCGCAACTGTTCGCTCCATCCTAATTTATGGGTGTGAAACATCATCATTAAGAATAGACGATATTCACAGGTTACAGGTATTCGGTTATGGGTGTCTAGTAGATATTTTTTATGCCCCGATAACAATGATGAGTGGTAATTTTCGGGATCCATTTATGAACCAGTACTATACGTATATTTTATCGTATAATTATTATGTAACTAAACTATTCATATTCATGTCCCTCTTATTATAAGCTTTATTTTGACCTATGAACTGTTATTATACGATTTTCCATACTTGAATTATTCCCTGTCTAATAGTTTGAGACGTTGAGTGACATAGCTCAAGATCGTTTGCAACGGTTCAGGTCCATCCATTCGCTGTCTTGCCCCAAATTCGGAGCTCATAATTTTGTTTGTGTTCTTATTCCATTAATTTATATTTTCTTCTCGAATCACATCTTCGATGCTTGATGTTTTTTATTACCATTGATATTGTAACTACCTCTATTATTGTATGGTTTGATCAGACAATTTCATCTCTGTGTGCTAATGGGGTTTGTCAGCTTGAACAAATGTACATACGTACGAGGTTCTACGTTGTGATTGGTTGTCTTACCATCAGTTGGTGGCTTCGTTCACATATATATTTGGTGCCCCCTTGTACCAATATTTATGTGTTCAAATAAATAAATAAATTGGTTCACACTGTCATGATCTATAACAATATGACTCTCGGAAAATACTAAATTTTTAGACCGACAGAACATGAATCCGGGACGCACGTTTCGTCCAACATGGGACTGTTCAGCTTGATGTACCTGCATTCCATCAGGTTTATGTGGAACTTAATCATGCTATTGCAAGATGTAAATTGATAACTGAGTAATTGGTATGGTAAAGTTCATCAATTATGTTTTCATATATAGAAAGATCATATGATTTGATTCATTTAAAAAGTACAAAGGAAATAGTGGGATTGTTGTCGACACAAAGATGTGACAGAATTTAATACGTATAATGATGTACAAGGATGCACATGATTAGGTCTTTGAAAAATAGGCGTTCTGTTTTGAACTTCATATTATCCCTTCATAATAGTTATTCCGATGTGATCTGTGAAAGACTTCACAATTGGAAACAGTATATCTACCCAGATTTAAATTGATCAATTATGTGACTAATTCAAACTCGGCCAATTAGATCATACTTGGTAATTCACCAGATATTTGTGTATAAGCAATACACTATTGGTGAAGGCTAATGATACTGCCTAGTTGCCTAAACGTAACTAGGTGGGGCGGGTTCCGAAACCAGTACTTAGTGACTGAGAGGTCACTGTTCCATTTACAGTCGGTCCATAAGGATAAATGGTATGAAAGTTTTCCTAATTTTATTGGAATCATAAACCGATCAATATAAGACCACTAACATTGATCTGTTCGTAATTTCAATGAAATTAAACCAGTTTCACAATTGTATATTGATGGGTTTCTTTTTCTAGTTTGTTTGTGATTATTTTAATTGTGTATGTTTGGCAGTGTTTCATAAGTTACTGTAGAAGCATAAAGTTAGATTTGACTTACTCCCCATACAGAAATGTATCTATGAAAGATTTGTTGATATGTTTCTTATTTCCAAGTTAATGATGCATATATTTAGACTACTTATTATTAACTACTCATTTACTTTGTCTTCATTTTTGATAAACTGACATTTTTATCTTTTTATTTTTTAATCTCTTCAGGTGGGGATTAGACTTATCTAATCAACATGTGGCTGACTGCAAAGAATTAGGTGTTTTTGAACCACTTGTTTCTAAAATTAAAAGTTTAAAATTTGCTACTGAAGCCGCTATCACTATTCTACGAATTGATGATTTAATTAAATTAAAAGAAGAGAAACAACCTGATCATGACGGTGATGAGTGTGGTTATTAACTGAATTCGATTCCGGTCAATATATTTCTATCGTTTTTTTTTGGAAGAAATATATGTGTTACATAATTTTAGAATGTTTTATATTAATTTAGAATCATCAGTAAAGGGTTATGGAGATTGTTGAGCGTAGATTAATATCATAAATGAATCAATGTTAGATCACCATTTAAAACCTGGAAGCACTAGACGTCTATTTCGTCCTAGTATGGGACTTCTCATTGGTGCACACCCACGATCTCGCACGTGAACACTTAACCTGTAGAGCTGGCATCCAACGATGTTAATGTCTAACCTCAACCGGTCCACGATATTGCACTACCGTCCCCCATTGTCTGAGGAGTCCCATACTAGGGTGAAACGGCTGTCCGGTGCTTCTAGGCTTTCAATGGTGGTCTAACATTGATGCATTCATGGTGTCAATCTAATTTGGAATCATCTTAATAATACTATCATAAGTAGACAATAATTTATATGACTGAATGTGTAGATAAACTAGTATGCCATAGACAATGTGATATCCGGTACGAGTGTGTTTCAGTGTATTTTACATCGCAGTGAGAATGAGGATTAACAAGATAGGATGCAAAACAGGGAAATGGTATTAATTGTGATAAATGTTAAATGTGAGTATTTCTATACAACTGATTGTTTATGTTACAATCGAATTAGTTTTGTTCTTTTGCTTCAGGAAGCTATGACACTTTTCATAAAGGTCTATTTCGGTCAGTAATCAAAGTTTATTTGATATAAAAGTTGGATAACTTTGACTGAAATTTTAAAGTTAGATTAACTTGTTCTACATAACAGCTGCATTGTTGTGCGAAATAAACTTGCAAGTTAAACACGTAGGTTTTTGTTCAACAATAAATTCTGTGTTTGTACATTGTCAATCAGTCAGTCAGCTGCAACGTAGGACCAGGCACGTATATGCATCGGTCCAAGTTGCCATACCGCATTAGCACAACAAGATGAACACCGGATTCATAGGAGTAGTTAATTCAGTGGTGTTAATATATAGAAGAAAGATTGTGTATAAGGAGATAGTACAGGAAGAAAGAATTAGTTCCTAGAAAGATATGAAGCGATTTTAATTTCTTAATTTAAGGAAGACAGAGAGTGTATACACCTACGCCATTGTGATCGATTCTGAGCCGTGTCACCCAAAGTCTCCAACCATTGGTTACGATAGTCACGCGGACCCCAACCAAGCATTCTGCATCTAACAACATGGCTCAGACCAGAAGTTAGTGACTTCAAGCACTGATGCCACGTTTCGGTTTGGCCGCCCCTAACTTTCTTCCAATTATCCCCTGCACTAGTCAGCATTGCGCGTCGTGGTAATCTGTGTTCAGGCATACGCAGCACGTGGCCCAACTATCTCAGTCAATGAAGGTTCATAACCTCATCAACTGATTTACCATCATTCCCTAATACCCTGCGTCTAACCTCACTATTACTTACCCGGTGATCCCAGCAGATACCCGCAATATTTCTAAGGCACCTGTGGTCAAATACTAGTAACTTACGAATATCTTTTACTCTTAAAGGCCAAGTTTCGCAGCCGTATAGTAAAACGGAACGAACTGCCGCGCAGTATACTCGTCCCTTAATTGATAGATGGATATCTCGCCTGCACCATAGATGACGTAAGTTGGCAAAGGCTAAACGAGCTTTTCGAATCCTTGCTGAGATTTAGTCAGACACCAACCCATTAGGGCTGATCAGACTTCCAAGATAAGTGAAGTTGTCAATGCGTTCGACTACTTCACTCCTTATCCTTAGTTCAGGTGTTGACGCAGACCAGTCCTGAAGCAACAACTTGCATTTAGAGGGAGAAAAGCGCATCCCAAACATTCTAGCATTGTTGCTCAGTGCTACCAAAAGACTGCATTTCATCAGCGTCTTCACTAAACAGGACTATGTCATCTGCGTATTCTAAGTCAATAAGTGGACCTCCTGGTACGAGATCAATACCTGAGAATTCAGTCGATGAGAGCGTTATTTCCATCAGTAGGTCTATGATGAAGTTGAACAAAAATGGAGAAAGTGGACAGCCTTGGCGGACGCCACTTGAGGTTGCGAAAGCAGATGACAGTTCGCCATAAGCTCTGACTCGACTGGTAGTGTTCGAGTAAAGAGCCTTCACAAGGTTTATGTACTTCTGGGGTACGCCTTTCAATGACAGACACTGCCACAGAACCTCTCGGTCAACAAAGTCGAACGCTGCTTTTAAGTCAAGGAATACCACCATTGTCGGACGCCGATAAGTATGCCTGTGTTCTACAACCTGATGAATGGTAAATATGGTCTATGCAGCCATGACCAGGTCTGAAGCCAGCCTGATTTTCACGTGTTTGCAGTTCACGAGTTTCAGTTAGGCGTCCGATAATTATCGAGGCTAGTATTTTAGATACTATATTAGTCAAACTAATCCCTCTATGGTTGTCACAGGATGATTTTGACCCTTTCTTAAATATTGGGACGATAAGTGATTGTGACCAGTTAGATGGGATAACTTCTAACTCCCAGATTTTAGCTAAAATATTAGTCAACCAAGTCGCTAAAACTAGACCACCATCCTTAAAGACCTCTGGGGCCAATCCGTCTGGACCAGCTGCCCTTCCTTCTTTTAGATTAATTGTAGCCTTTTGAACTTCAGCTAGAGTTGGTAGACCTACTTCAATGTTCCATTCACACTGTCTGGGAATGGAGGGTAGTTGTAGAGTAGCTGAAGGCCAACTGAATTGCTCCTTAAAATGTTCCGCCCATCGTTCTAAGCGTCTGGACTGGGAGCATATGAGAGTGTCGTCTTTTTCCGAAATAGTCTGACTTACACTTGATTTATTAATTCCAGTTTCTTTTATTGTCAGTAGAGTTGTCTTGTGTTCCCTATAATCGCCGCCTTTTCCATCTCTTTTGCTTTTGTTGCCCACCACTGCTCACGATCATTCCTTAGACTTTTGCTTAATCTAGATCTGATTTCTTTACGCTCTTCATCGTATTCAAAACCTGATGGGATGAGTTTGCGAGAATCTATCAGTGCAATAGACCTTGACGAAATCCATTGGTTTTTTGTACCCATTTGGTTCAAATCACTGGTAGATGTCACTGCTGTTTCCACAGCTGCTTGTATAACTTTCCAAGCAACATCTGGGTCAGTCTCGTTTTCAGAACCACCTAAGTGTGACCTCCGTTGTTCCTGGAACCTACTTTTGACTTTCTCATTACTCAATTCGGTTCTAATGAGTCTTTTTTGTGTGGCTCTTTTGTGTCCAGTGAGGCGCAAGCAGATGCGTGCTCGTATTAGGGCATGATCAGAGTCCAAGCAGGTACCCCAGAATGAGCGACAATCTTCTATTGACCCTCTCCAACGATGACTGATGGCAATATGGTCTATTTGAGTCCATCGTTGGTTTGGTGCAGGAGGTCGCCATGTTAGACGATGTCTCTCTTTATGCTTGAAATTTGTGTTTGCTAAAAATAAACGATTGTCTGAGCACAGTTGCAACTGACGATCACCATTATCTGTTCGCTGTGCCGGAATACTAAAATACCCACCTAAATGTCTTTCTGTTTCGTTTAAGCTACCTACCTGGGCATTGAAGTCACCTCCTACGAGTACTATGTCTGAACGTTTAGCTTTCTGAAGAAGTTCAGACAGGTTTCTGTAAAATTTATCTTTCACTTCATCCGAACTGCAGTCAGTGGGAGCGTAGGCAGAAACGACGAAAAGGCAACGACTTGTGTCCCTATCGTTTCGAGTTCTTTCGGAGCCGTTTAGTCGAACAGCGCATAGACGACTGTTAACGGGGATCCACTCTAATAACGCTTGTTCTGTTCTCATGCTTAGTGCTATGCCTACACCTGCAAGTCCACGAGAACTAGCCATCGGGTCGCCAGATACACGAAGGGTGTATCTCGTCGGCTCTCCGTTTTGCCGAGGTGAGGTCAAGTGAATGACCACACTAGGATCTTGTATGCGTGTTTTGGAGACACAGCATACATCAATGGTACGATATTCTAAGGTTTTAGTCAAGGAAGCCTGCTGACCGATTTGGCATAGTGTGCGTACGTTGAAGGGTCCAATGTATAGTTTGTAGCGAGGTTTCAGTAGACCTGTGACAGTGTTTTGCGCACTAGAACCGTTGGCTTTGTTGACACTGGAGGAGGAAGCTAAAAGAGGAAGTTTAGTGTATAAAGTCGATGTAGGAGGAATAATAGGAATTGAAGAGGGAGGTTGACTATGAATACAGTGGTCTTGAGTGCTGTTAGAGGTATGAGGGCGATTATCACTTCCCGGTTGCCCACACCGTGGAAGGGTTCTGCTGGAGGTACTTGAAAAGGAAATTGGATTAGAGTTGGTCATAGTGACCTGAGAGCGTGACCGCAGTGCCCAAGGTACAGCTGCTTGAGGTCGGTCACACACAACCATTTTATGAGTAGTTTTAGTGTTAGCTCCGTAATTGTTGAGTTCTTACCGCCGGAGACGGATAAGGCGAGGTGTGCATTTTTAGGTTCGACCTTTTCTAACCCCACCCCTCCTTGTGGGAAGGCAGCATCGCTGTCATGCTGGTTGTCTGAAGGAAACACCTTACTGCTGTCGCACCTCTGTACAGTCAGCAGTACGACTTCGCCTTCGGACCTTGGTTTTGTTGCTTTTAATCTTACCGCTCTTCAACCGACCTGTCTGGCATGGTAGGACCTTGAGGAACGGTTGTTCCAGCCAGTATAGCTCAGTTGCTTCATCACGATAGGCAAGCCCGACCACCACGTCAAGGTAGCAACAACCGTCAGGTTGTACATTGTAATAAACAGTTATTAAGAATCCTATTGATAGTTGGAAACCAGCGTGATACATATCGTGGTTTCGTAACTTCAGGACAAAAAAAATCCTGTACAGGATGCCCCTAAATGCCCTGAAACGACAGAGAATGGGAAGAGTCCGCTCACTCTCTCGAAATACTCTTACATGACCACGCGTATATAGCCTCTGCCAGAAATGTCCTACTCACTACCTTCTCGCGGCATTACTGTTGTTTACGTAAGTGAGAGGACGAAGCGAATGTCCGGCGCTTTAACTGGGTTGGTGGACATGGAGAGTCCACCTAGGGGTGTTTAAAAACCTTTATTTCAAACTCATGGTGCACATGGGCTCCAATATCCTGAAGGGACAAATGGCGTATGAACCAATCGTTGGTCACCGGCTACCATGGGACTGCATCTCCTTACGATGCTCCACTGCCTTGTGGATCATACCTTCAAGTCGAAAGCTCCGGGTGTTGCCTCCTAAGAAAACCACCCGCTTCGGTTTGGGCACCTGAGCAGTAACACAGCCCTCACGCATATGTATCTGGTGCCTCCTTGCACCAGTATCTAAGTGTTCAAATAATAACTTCACTAAGATTTTATGTTTCATATTCGGAGAATCTTGTAAGTCATGAACTTCTACTTTTTATTTCATTTCACAAAAAGCGTCAAAGTGACATAAAAAGCCGAGACGCGATCACAATTATTAGCCAGTAAAATTAAATGCTACCAGCCTTTAAGTGTGGACCGGCACAGCTTCCTGTCTATTGATTATGTGATTTATTTTCGGAGCTTATTGTCAACTGCTTGTATTCGTACTGAATAAAGTATTATGTAACATGTTGTCTGGTTGTATAATATTAGCATACTGCGGCAGTTAGAAATTTTATTCTCATTATATTAAGTCGTTAAAGTTTGGTATGTGTTTATACTCTTTATATTGTGGAGAATAATAAAAACTGCGATATCATATTCAACAAGGCTACCTGCCTGCAGCTCCTAGATGCTCCATAAGACGAATCTTCTCAAGGTTTATTGGACGAGAACTGAATGTATATCCAAACTAAATCAGTTATTCTTCAATTCAAAGACTACTAATAAGTTTTATAAACTGAGCAGTTATCACTGCATACAAATTGATGATGATGTAATCATTACAAGGGAAATGCATTAAAATAAAAGAGCTGATACAACTGACGTGCACTGATATTTAACGAGTAGAAAATACAGGGATTCATAGAAGTTGATAAAACAAATTCCCTTTCGTGTACTTTGAATATGGGATAAATGATCCCTACCAACTCATCAATTTAATGTCATTAATCATTAAAATTTTGCTTAATAAAGAAAGAAGAAGCTCTTAATAATAAGTATTAAATCACTATATTGCCCCCCAAATGACCTGGTACGGCCGAGAGTGGGGAGAGTCAGCTCTCACGTGACCACATGCATATAACCACTGCCAGGGAAGTCGTACTCACTGCATTCATGCGGCGGGGGTGTATTTTACGAAATTGAGAGGTCGAAAAACAAATGATTGGTGCTCTAACGGGGTTGGTGGACACGGAGAGTTCACCTAGGGTAATTGGTCATCGGCGACCATGAAACTGCATCTTCTAACATTGCTCTGCTGCTTTGCGGATCAGACCTTTAGATCAAAGGTTCCGGGCATGGCTCCCTAAGAAAATCACCCATTTAGGTTCGGGCACCCGAACAGTATTACAGCTCACACAAAAACCAAGTAACTTGTGTAGCTTATGTGTATTCAGTACCCTTTTGTGCCAATATTTATGTATTCAAACAAATAATCAGGGAGAAAATTATATTCATTGAATAATGAACTATTGACATCATTATCCACATACAAACTAAATTATTTCAGGTATATTTTATGTTTTACAATAAATGAGTTTAGACTGCTAAATAGTTTTAATGTTAATTCCCGTTTATTTTACATTGGTCCATTAAATCCATGATTTTGTCTTACCACATTACTAGGCATATTCATGTTAACTGTCATTGTTTGATATGTTGGAGCAAATGCACCGAATGCACCACCCATATTCGGTGGTATCATACCATATCTAGCATAAATAGGATGTCGTATTGTTGATGCTTGTTGTTGTTGTTGTTCAGCTTCTGCTGCGGCAGCGGCAGCTGCAGCTTCTTTAGCAGCTTTTTCATCCATCTCTTGTGCAAGTGCAGCTTCTCGTTCACGTCGTTTCCTACTACGTGATTTACATAACATTAATTTTTCATGATTAATTATACAGAATGCAATAATTATACCAATGGTTAATAATAGTACGACAATTAATAAACATGCTGATAATACAGGAGGTGGTAAATATATTTCTTCTTCTATTGGATTATTGGTCTTTCTTCGTCTTGTCTGTAATGTATTTATTGTTAGTCGACGAAATGGGCAACGTTCTAATGCTTGCTGTGAGCTAACTTTATCCGATGTAGTTGGTAAACCCTAGTTTTGAAAATAAAGGACGTTCAATGTGTTATGAATGCAATTGTAACCGCAGTAATAATAATGTAAGTGAAAAGGAAAAACACCATTGTCGTACTCAAATCAGTTACCTTTAAGTTGTTATCTGGATGCTTCAATAAATTTGATATTATTAAGCTGACCTAGGTTTCTGAGTAAATGGGACTCATCAACAAAGCGTATTTGCTATCATATAGAAACTGATATATTTTGGCATATTATAACCGGTGTCACCTAGTATCAAATTTGGATACTTAACAGCTAAACTGTTCGACTAACTGTTCATTTCTATAGCACTGAGATGCCCACGCTAATTGACCACCGAGTTGTATTGATCGGTATAGATCTCTGTCTATCGACTTAAAATTTATACGTTAGGGAAGGTGACATGATGTTGGAATTCACTAGGTTTGTTATTAGGTAGTTAGGAGTAAATGAAAAGTCAATCCTTTATTAATAAAACAGTATGGTAATATGATGCGATTTGATTCGTTAAAAAGTCTGATAACTTTTATTCGAAATTGTTTAGCATAACTTGGGTCGATTAAAATTAAACATTAACACCATTGGATGCCGGCTAATTTGTCTACAGGTTGAGCGTTCGCGCGCGAGATCGAAGGTTCTGCATTCGAGTCGTGGATGCGCACTACTGAGACTCATGAATTCAACTATTGGCATAACTTGAATTCAGACGAGATGTAAATGATTCACTAGCTACTATCATGAACAACGGAGAAATAAATGTTCATTAAGGAATATGTAATGATAACCTGATTTGTTCTTAGGTAAGGTAGGACTAGTTACCTCTCACACTCGTGAATCAATGTGCTTACAAAATTCATTAATCATTAACAATACACTAACTCAACAACTGATATTCTGGTTTGTGAATGTTCTCGAGTAAACTAACAGTACTGACAGGAGAATTGGCCTGCTTAAACACTCAGCAAGCGGAACATCATCTATCGGAGTCAAATGGAGAGGAATTGATGTCTACAGTAACATCCATGCCTCCCAATGTCACAGTTAGTACTTTTTCCTACTGAGATGTTTAAATCATAACTATTATCAGTCCATTAAATTCGACAAACAATTTTGCAATGGAGAGTGTTTGTAGCTCAGGATAATAATTTAGATGCTTTATGCTCTGAGCAGAGCTGGTCAATTGTAGAGAAATTCTAGTAACTTACTTCTTTTGGAAAAAAATGCATAGAAGAACAGTGAATGCTTGACAATTCAATTATCCAGTTCAAAGAACAGTATGCCCTAGAAAACAACGTATTTACTTGCAATATATGCAGAGATAGATGGTGGCTAGCCGTGGAATCCAGGATGCACATTTCGTCTTATTTAGACTTCGTCAGTTAGATATAGATGCATCCTAAATTTGATGTTAACTCCTCCTGGAGTCCATCTAAGGGCTACTGCTTGTCCCAAGCCCGGATAAATGAGGAGAGTTGGGCATGGGGTTAGCGACCCTATCCTGTAGAAAACTAACTCGCTAAAAAAACACTAACCAGAAAAAATTATTCAGATCTTTTAAACTTTGCCCTCGGAGTCGGAAGGTCTTCATTTAGAAGAGTTATGACGCCTCATAATGAAGGCCGAGTTCCTTCAGAAGTCACGAGATCGATGCCATCATCCAGAAGATAAAAGTGTTTATTAACAGTTGTCTACGCAAAATACTTAGGATCTGTTGTCCAGACACTATTAGGAACAACCTACTGTGGGAGAGAACAAACCACATCCCAGTGGAGGAAGAAATCAAGAAGAAGCACTGGAAGTAGATAGGACACACATTGAGGAAAGCACCGAACTGCGTCATAAAGCAAGCCCTCATTTGAAATCCTCAAGGCTAAGGGAAAAGAGGAAGACCAAACAACACATTACACCGGGAAATGGAGATAGACATGAGAAAAATGAACAAGAATTGGATGGAACTAGAAAATTAGGCCCATGTTAGAGTGGGTTGGTGAATGCTGGTCGGCGATCTATGCTCTACTAGGAGTAACAGGTGTAAGTAAATTTAATGTTCTAAAAGAACTGATTGATCAATTACAATCCTTAACACCAATTGGAATATTCAAATAATCAATATAAATGAATGATAATAATAAAAATAATTAACTTACACTTGGTGAAAATTGACAATCTACATTTGATGTTATATTAGCTGGTTTATGTTGTACAATAAATGGACATGGTTGAACTTCTTCATCACTTTGAAATTCTATTGTATGATGAATATCAAGTGGTTTTGGTGGTAAACGTTCTCTTTTTAATCCAGTTGATGAACGAAATACAACTTGTGTTAATTTATTACTAGCAAAACGTTCAGTATCTTCAAATGGTATAGAATTATTTATTAAACTTCTTCCATCAATACATATATATTGTGTTAACTGTAATAATTAAAAATAATATGGCAATATAAATATATGACTATAATAATAGGAGTATGTGTTGACAACAATCAATTAAATTCAATGTAGAAAGAACAAAGGATTACTCATAGTTCACTTCTATCTATGACTTGTCTTGATAGTCAAGTTATCTAAGATGGATAATCAAATGTTTATAGTAAAGTTAATCAATTCAAAGGAAATACAATTGAGTTGAAATTGATGAAATATTTCCATTATGACATCGTAGTTCATTCAAGTATTTAAGAAAGTGAGATGAAGGAGAAGATTTGTAGCTCAAATGGATGATTTTGATGGAGTTTTGTTCTCTGAGCTCAGAGAATATCCGTAATTCCTTGGCACTAGTGAAACAAACTTACTCTAAATCATCTTCCTATATGAATTAATTTACCTGTAAATTTTCTAGACTCTGGAATAACCTACCACAATCTATCCGTACGATCAAGTCACTCCCATTATTTGTACTCTGCATCGATGCATACTGCTGCTCTGAAAACGCATTGAATGTTCTAGCACCTGTAAGTGAATCTCATTCCACAAGTGATATTATAGGAACGTTAAATGTCTAGCCATTTTTATTAGTGCATTCCCCAAGTAAAACCACCTACTTGCTGTCACTTTATGTTAACACCATCCCTAGCAACTTGAAGTAATTTGAATAATATCTAACATTAACAGTATATCACTGTGTCACATGACATACGCATTTTGATAGACCTGATTGACATATTTTGTTAATTACTGCTTTATTGTTCCGTTCCCTCTATTGTCGTTTTAATTTCTTTAGTTTCAGATAATTATCATTAATTCGATCTAGTACAGGAAATAACCTTCATTACACTGTTCATAAATCAATAGGCTGTCCATTTAAGAAAAAGTTCCCGATTGATGCATTGGATCGCTGTAATACACGTACTACCCAAACAATTACTGAACTAGTATACTTAAAATTTTCTTCTATCATATGTTTGTTCTCTACATCTAATGTTACTATTTATATCAAATTGATAATGTCTGTAAACTGGCGTGAACTCTGTAATAATTATTTTTCAGAATAGATTATTATTATTATTCGCTCTTATATTGTACTAAACAAATGACGTCTGATCGGTTTGATCAGCCTAACGTCCTATTGGTCCGTTTCTCGCTTAGCCCGTCCACATTAGTTCAGAATGCCAATAACAGCCTCCACTATGCGAATCATTTATTTCAGATATACTGGGTTTATTTATCAACCAAACAGACCACAACGCATCATAAAATAAGAAATAAAACTTTTACACAATAAAGCAAAAAAGTGGAGCCGAGGATCTAATTTATGGACGAGCCAATCAGAAGCGTTTGAGAGATTTCAAGGTCACGGAGCCAACTTCAGTGCTTAATGCTAACGTACGATCGGTTCACAGGGAATTTTGTACAAAACGTGATAATTGAGCGGCTGTAACAAATAAAATGGCGAGACTATAATTTGTGGATGAACCAATCAGGTATAAGATAACAGATCTCGGATTTTGGCGCGAAGGTCTTTCATCCATTTGGCTAAATAGAGTTTTGACATTATAGCTGATGTCAGTTCGTAATGAAAACCCTATATATAATTCCTAACTAAGGCAAATTACGATAATTATTGCAAACTGGATAATAAAAGCATCAGTAACACTGGCTGCAGCTAGGTGCTACAATATATACGGATGGTTGGAGAGCGTGCAGACTCCTACATAGGCTTGGTTATGTGCATGGTGTCGTTATCCACAAGTAACATTTTGTGTACTCAACAACCAAAGTGCACACAAACAATATTGGAGCTATGTGGTCAAGGCTGAAAGAGTTTTTCAGACTTTATCATGGCTCCCGAGGCCGACTATACTGTAGCCAATATGGATGAGTTTCTCTACTGCATGTATTACGATTTTAGAGCCTCTGAACCTCTTTTATCCTTGACAAGTTTTTGAACCACGTATAAGAAGTGTACCCACTTTCTTTATTTGGTTTTGTTTAATATATTTTTACTCTATGCTGACTGTTTGCTGATTGGCTGATATTTATCAAGGTCACTTAAAATTCGTTCAAAGGTTGTCCATAAATTAGAGTCTCACCGCATATACATATCCATGAAGTTGTAGTGCATCTGTTTTACAATGTTCGATAAGTATGTATGTAGTATTAATTAATTTTCAGGCATTTTTATATTCATTGGCTGGGTGTGTTCTACATAGAAGAGTATGGTTTTCAGTGATGATTTGCTTCTTTCATTCAGAATGTTGAGATGCGCTACATTTAAGTGTTCATTGAAGATATACAATGCTGACTGGTGTTGGGCATGGTTAGAAGAAAGTTAGAGGTGACCAAACCAAAATGTGGTATCAGTGCTTGAAGTCACGAACTTCTAATCTTAACCATATTGATATATGCAAACTACTTGATTGGCGTCTGCTTGACTATAGTGACATGGCTCAGAATCGATCACAATGTCATAGGTGTATACATTATTTGTCTTCCTATAAACCATGAAATTAAAATTACTTTAAACCTTTCTTTCTATCAACTAATTCTTTCTTTCTGTACTAAATCCTTATACGCAATCTTTATTTTATATATTAGTACCATTGAAGTAACTACTTATATGAACTTGGTATTCATCTTTTTATACTAATGAGGTATGGTAAATTGGACCTATGCATATATGTGCCTGGTCCTACATTATAGCTGATTGATTGACTGATTCAGTGAAGATATTTAAATTGGTTAAGATGACTGAGATGAAATCCTCCGTGAAGATCATTTTCTTATATGTAGCACTCCATAAATGGATAGGAAAATGATCAAAAATGCCTAGATACTGTAATTTTATTGAACATTGTAAAAACAAGAGTTGATTTCACACGCACACACACACACACTTTGTGTTTTTGATTCGTATTGTTTGCATGTACAAGTCATTGGTAATGAGAATAATTTAATTGACGATAAAATTCGGATATTGAATTTAATCAGACATGGGGATGGGAATAGCACCAAATATTTTTGTAGTTAAAAGTTAAAAAAAATTATAAAGAAAGTGTGGCTTATCTGTAAAGCTATAAAATATGATTGTGGTAATGGGGGGGGGGATTGCACAAACTTCTCCTGTTCATTAATTTTTGATTTTTCCATTTCAATGTTTCAGGAATACAAAGATAGCAGAGATTTACGTTTTTAATCACTTTGTAAGTGTATACGTTTTAATCTAATAGATTAATATACAAAGATGGATGGTGGTTAGCAGTGGAATCCAGTTTGACGCGCGTTTCGTCCTATTTGGGACTCGTTAGCTGGATTTACCTGCATCTCAGAGTTGATGTTCACTCTGGGACTCGAACCCAATACCATACGCTTCAAACGCCATCGCGTTATACATTTAGCTACTGAGTTCTAATAGTCACTTGCTTGTTTAATGGGGTGAAGTTTAATTCACTTAGTATTGTTTCACTTGAATCTTCCCATTGATGTTTAGGAGTGAAATTGATCAATCTCTTATCGGCATATGTAAATTAAAGCAATATCGAGGTTATACGCACAGTATGCACATATGCCGATAAGAAACTGATCAATTGCAGTCCTATACATCAATAGGAAGATTCAAGTAAAACAATACCAAGTGAACTAATAGATTAGTGTTCACAAAGTGTCCTATTATTGTGATCTCTTAGCATAAGTTACTGTTTAGTTTCAAATATATGGAACAGCGTTTGTGAACTCTCTTTTATCGAAATACTGACATATCTAATACAATTATGGAGATTTCATAATGAAATAACTGAAAAATAATCGCTTAGTTGAACCTCTCTCTTGTGTTTTAAAAGACGCAATTAGTTTTTGGATGAATTTTGTTCTCCGGGCTGGATGGTTTGATTGTGGAGTTTTCATCGTACTTCTGAACTGCATTATCAGCACAAACTTCACCAAAATCATCTACCTGAGTTACAAATCTTCTCCACCATCTCAGAGACAATTAGTCAATAGAAAACTGACTTGCTTAACTAAAGATACCATGTAGTAGTCTATTAACATATACTTTAAGCTTGTCAATTATTCACTATCAAAATATGTTTATACCGTTTGGATAAACCTTTTATTTCATACTAAATTTATTTTAATGTACAGTTATAAAATGCAATCACTAATATCAAGTATATATTACTTATCAACTATAGGACAGGTTTCATTAACTACTTCTATGAATCCGGGCTCATCTTATTGTGCTAATAAGGTGTGGCAACTTGGAAAAATGCACATATGTACGTGGTCCTACGTTGTGACTGACTGTTATTGTTATATAATACGTATTGATTTCAGTTGAGGAACTATTGAAAACCAAAGACCATTTGGGGATTGTCTCATTATAATATAAGACTCCTCAATAGTGAGTATTCAAAACCTAGTTAGTGATCTCTTGGAGAACTGTTAACCGTTGGTATTAATATCTGTTTATTCAACGATGTTATACAGTCAGTTAGTAACAACATAAAACTTCATACGTTTATACATCAGTTCAAGTTGCCATATCACATTAGCACAGAGATACAGTTATCGATTCAAATCCTGTAGTGGTAGAGGTAGTAAGAGTATAAGCAGTAATCGGAAACATTAGGCTTTGAAGATGTTATTTAAGGATTATAATCCAGTGAAATAAATTTGGAAGGAGAAAAAATAAAGGGACATGAAGAATTCAGAAGATTAGAATTTAGGCAAACACAAAGCGTGGATGCACCTGCGCTGTTGCAAATGGTTTCAACCATATCATTCAAGGTCTCTAGCAATCGGATGATATCGTCTCGTGGATCACAACCAGGTAGTCTAAACCTACCAACACGACTCAATCCACTTGTCAGTGACTTCATGGATTTTTGCCGTGTTTTGTTCTGGCTGCCCCTAACTTTCTTCCAACCATCCCCAACACTAGTCAGCATGGCACGTCGTAGCAATCGGTGTTCAGGCATACGTAACACGTGACCTAACCATCTCAGTCGACGAAGATTCACAACCTAATCAACCGATTTACTATCATTGCCTAATATCCTGAATCTAACGTCACTATTACTTACCTGGTGATCTCAGCAGATACGAGCAATATTCCTAAGATATCTGTGGTCGAATACTAGTAGTTTACCAATATCTTCTACTCTTATTGGCCACATTTCACGCAGTATACTCGTCCCTTAATTGATAGATAGATATCTTGCCTTTGCCATAGGTAATGTAAGTTAGCAAAATCCAATCGAGCTTTTCGAATCCATGCTGGAATTCCGTTAGACACCAACTCATTAGAGATGATCAGACTTCTAAGATAAGTGAAGTTGTCAACACATTCGATTACTTGAGGTTTTCAACAAACATCATTCTTGAAGTAATAACTTTCATTTAAAAAAATGAAGAAATTGTTATGTAATACAATATTAACTTACTTGCATTATACGTTGATAATAACGAAATAAAAATGGTGGTATTGTTTTCATACGAAATCCTAATTCTAAACCTAATAATTCACTATCATTATTAATCCATGCTAAAAAATCTGCATCAATACAATCAACTGGTGGTAATGAAAATTCTTGAAATCTTGGTTCATATATAAATAAATAAAATTGATCATTATTACCAATCATAACACAATCTAAATAACTAATTATATCTATTGGTGATGGTAAATTATTCCAATGATCACATGACATATATAATGCATCATGAATAGTTTGTTCCATAGTTTCATTGTTATCATTTATTCCAGTGATATTATTATTCATAGAAGTTAGATCTGTTTCATTTATAGTTGATTGAATAGTCGAAAGTGTACTACTACTACTACTACTACTACTACTACTACTAGTAATAGTAGTAATAGTACTAGTAGTAGGTATCAATGATGATTGTGTTGTTTTAATCATATTTATTAATGAACTTTTCTTTGTTTCTATGGTTGATAAACGTACAATAAAACAGCCTACATTTGGACAAAATTGACATATAGGTAATTTAGCATTAGAATGATATGGTAATTCAAATGTTCGATCAGTTTTATAATGACCACCAGTTAAATTTACTTTAGCTGGCCAATAACCACTTGGACATAACATATTAGGTGAATAATAATGATTATTATTATTATTGCTACTATGTGTCATAGTAATGAAAATTATATTCAATATAATAAAATAGGATAATATTCTCCATAAAATGAGTTGAGAAATTCCAGCATACATCATTATATGTTATTAGAATAAGGAAGGATTTACAAATAATTGTATAATTTCATCGATAGTTACTGTACATCGTTTACATATTTAATGGTCCAATCAATGTAACGTAAGGAAATCATGACCTTGATCCCCCATCACAGATACCGAGATCGATAGATTTACCAATATACAAAGTGTATGTGTGTGTGTGCGTGCACATTGCAAGTTGTTTAAATAATACTTAGTAAAACAGTGAAAATGTGGAAAATTCAGAACTTTGTTATTCTGATTGGTTGTGTATAGGATGATAAAGATTGTTTTAAAAACTGCACGTTAATTAGTATCAGAATGGGGGTTTTGTGGAGATTGTAGTAATGAATACACATTGTTGAGGAGTCCAACAATATGACGAAACGGCCGTCTATTGCTTCCATGGTCTAGCTTTAATTGATTCATGATTTCAACTATTGAAATTACACCTTAATTATTTATTTGAGAGGTTTTAAACTTTTAAGACTATCCAGGATATGTCATTTATCAATTAAAGACTTGGATTCGATTTCTACAGTGAGATATTTTGATTTTTCTTCGCAGCATCCTTACTACCGACCAACCTGTTTGATAAACAGTACGAAGTAAGATGTGTAGGTGAAGTAGAAACTTTTTTAGAGAGCTGCATAGACAATTCATAGGAAACGTCTATAAATTATGAAACTATTATTGAGGTAAACAGATTAAACCAATAGAGTTTTGTGTATCACTTTATTCAATCAAATATATAACACAAAATAGATACTTCTTGTATCATGGATGTAGTTTAAGGGTGGACGCCTGAAAAGTAGATAGAATAGTCCTTGCATATGTATAAAAAACAACTACTAATTATTCTTGATGAACATAACATTGTCATAGTATTATAACTTGTGACCTGTTAGTGTATAGCGTAACGATACCGCCACTTAGAGAGCAGTGACTTATCGATCGGACCAATGACGCGTAAACCCGTACGAGCAGTCTCGAGTCCTTATTGGTCTCGCTTCCTGTCTAGCCCAGTCAGTTAAGTCCAGAACACTAATCCGAGCCTCTACGATAGGAATCATTTATTTCAAGCATACTCGGTTTATATACCACTCAAACAGACCACATCGTACCAAAAAATAGGAAACAACATTTGTACAAGATTTGGTCAAATGTGGCTGTGAATGTGGGAGGCAGTGACTAATAGACAGGTCATAATTCAGGAATGGTTCATAGGTCAAAATAAAGCTTATAATAAGAGGAACACGAATATGAAAATTTAGTTACTTAACAATGATACGTTTAGTATTTGTCCATAAATGGATCCCAAAGTTACCATTCATTATGCTTATCCGGACCTAATACAGAACAATCAATTGAATGAAACTATCAACCTAAGATGGGAAAAGTTCATTTTGATCGGTAAATGAACAAGTTAAATGAACTGATTTAAGCATATAGAATACTGTGTAACAAATACAGCTTACATAACACTCCTGAATGTAGTGTATGGTTGTATATAGCTTTTCTGTTATACAATATAATTCGATGTAAATACAACTTGATAATCAACGAAAAGATTACTCTTTCATAAAGTCTACTACTATTTCTACAACTTAGTATTAGCTGCATCCTAGGTAAATAAAATCGGTTAAGAACGGATATTCATTGGATATATATGATCTCGCATGTGATTGTTGACAATAAGATAATCGAAACAGCCATCTGTACGTTGTTCATCTCATCTTTCACGTGTTATTTATAATCCAGTGTATTGCGTGATTACAATTTACTTTGAGTGAACTATGTGAATGACCTAAATATGTTTAACACAATGATAGGTTGATTGATATATAGTGATCAAAATGGTTACATATACACAGGTAAGAAGAATAGTCACTTTCTATACTTCACATACACCTATGCTTACTCTATAATCAATGCAACGTCATTCGTTAGTGAATTTAGTTGAAATCAACGTAGAGCCTCATAAAAATATGCTTTAGTCAGAATCATCATACAGCACGAATACAAAAATGAGTGAATGATTCAGAATATTAGAAGCGGGAATAGTAGGAAGGACTGAACACGAGAATATGATTTAACATGATAGATTGAAAGTTTTTATGAAATGCTCGAACAAAAGATCTAGAAAGAGATAACGAGCGAATACATCTGAGACAGTGTGACCTATTCTGAGCCATATCATCCAATGATGTATAGAACCTCTATTAATACAACCTAGATCAACAGTCTCTGACTTTACGTATTGAGGTTAGGAAACTGTCAACGAAAATAGTGTCAATAAACTCTGTCATAACTCAATCAAGATAATCATCACTCTCTCTTGAGACTTAACAACTGAGGCGTGGTTATAATAAACTGCAATCATATGTCATAAAAAAGATAGTCCTGATTGCGATGTAGCGGTTTAGATATCTGACTTCAAAATAGTCTTGTATGACAGTAAGTAGTACCTAATATCATGCTGTCGAAATTTCAATAGATGAACCAAGGTTGAATATCAGCCACTGTTTCAAGATAATACATCGATGTGCCTTAAATTGCTTGATTCAGATGTAGACAAAATGAATTTCATTGATTTTCTACATAAAAATCAAGGTAAAACAATGTATCTGGACGAATGTTGTATTATTTATTTCATCTTTCACTTTATCGAATGTACCAATGTACAGCTCAGATAGATAACTTTTTGATTGAGATCATGAATCGATTGACCACCAAAGAAAACCTAGAAGAACTAGACAGCCATTTCGACCTATTCTGGGACTCAGCAACGTTTATCCATGATCCCGCTCGCGGGATTCGAACCCAGGACCTATCGGTCTCGCACGTGAACGCTTAACCACTAGGCCACTGAGCCATCATCTTGCAGTGTTAATGTCTAAACTCAACCAATCCACGAAATTGTGCTATTGTCTTCCATTGTAATGAACTAGATACCTGTCCCTACCAGACATGGACTAGATCCACTGGTCACAGCTTTTTACTAGAACTTCGAGAATAGACTCACGAAGCTAGTCACTAGTGAGCACATGAAAATTATCAGTATGGAGTTGTGGAGATGAAACGGTCGTTTAGTGCTTCCAGGTTTTTAATGGTGGTCTAGCACCAATCGACTCTTGAACTCAATCAAAACATGATAATCTTCACAACTTTTTTAGTGTTATATTCCGTGAAGTAAATAGTTTAATCAAGAATTTTTTTCATAGTCGTTCTAAAGGAAATTCCTATATGACGTACGGGTCGATGTACAACAACATTATCATCAGAAGTAATTTATTAAACAAACAACTTAGTCAACTGAATAGGACTGAAAGAACACCGAATAAGAACAAAAATTCAACAGTGGAAAAAAGACAAAAAAATAATCATAGACTATTTTGATTGATTCCTGGAAAAAGACATTAACAACAGTATATACATGAAAGTAAAAATCAATTCCCAGGACAGAGTGGGTTGGAGAATGCCAGTCGGCGACCTATGCTCCACAGGGAGTAACAGGCGTAAGTATGTAAGTAAGTAAATACCAATTGAAAAACACATTTGAACATGTAGAATTTGGTCCTTTGGTGTTATTTTCAACAAAAGAAAGCACCATATCTGATCAGAACATAAGAATTGCATACTATTTATATATACAAGCACTGAGCAGCGTGAAATACAGATTAGTAATTACAAAAAAAAATACCTAAAAAGGGGATGTTTCAATCACATCGCAAACGAATGACCATCTTCTTTACAGTTGACTGGTGTGATTAGACCTTTACTATTTTGCCCTAATTTATCACCAGGTTTCCAACCAAGTTTTTGCAATAAACGATGACCTTTATTGGTCTACAAAACAAAAGTAATGCAAAGTACATTGTTATGGAATATTATTTTAAAGGTAGAGAAATAATAAACAGGTCTCAAAAAGCATTCATATTTACAACGCTACTGTTATCTTTAATCGATCAAATGGTTATTAATATTGGGGGGGTTGGTTAAGACTGTTCAGTTTTGTCACTAGCTAGATAAGCAGACAAGCAAACTAAAAAGCATCACTGGTTGATAATTTCGTCATACTATGGGATTCATCAGCAGTGCGCAATCCCGGCAGAGATCAATCTCTGGCACATTTATTAACATATGATGACTATAAATACCAGTCTTGGTAATATTGGAATACAACGCCTACCCGGACGGATAATATTGTCTGGGATAGGAGTAGGTTGAAGAAATGTAAAAGCGGTCAATACAAAACGTGGCATCAGATCAAGTCATTGTCATTTGAACTGAGTCATGTTTGCAGGTGTAGACTACTTGGTTGCTGTCAGCGTGATTATCATAACCAATGGTTAGAGACTTTGAGTGAAATGGCTCAAGATCGTTTGCAATGACACAGGTCCGTCCATGCTCTGTCTTACCCGAAATTCAGAGCTTCTAAATTCCTCATAGTTTTATTTGTGTTCTTATTCCGTTAATTTATATTTTCTTCTCGAATC